TAAATCAAATGGATCAAGGATCTTAATATCAGACCACAAACTCTTAAGTTGATACAGGAAAGAGTAGGAAATACTCTGGAGTTAGTAGGTATAGGTAAGAACTTTCTCAAAAACCCCAGCAGCACAGCAACTAAGAGATAGCATAGATAAATGGGACCTCATAAACTAAAAAGCTTCTGTTCATCAAAAGAAATGGTCTCTAAACTGAAGAGAACACCCACAGAGTGGGAGAAAATATTTGCCAGCTACACATCAGACAAAGGACTGATAACCAGAATATATAGGGAACTTAAAAAACTAAATTCTCCCAAAACTAATGAACCAATAAAGAAATGGGCAAGTGAACTAAACAGAACTTTCTCAAAAGAAGAAATTCAAATGGCCAAAAAACACATGAAAAAATGCTCACCATCTCTAGCAATAAAGGAAATGCAAATTAAAACCACACTAAGATTCCACCTCACCCCTGTTAGAATAGCCATCATTCAGCAACACCACCAACAACAGGTGTTGGCGAGGATGCGGGGAAAAAGGAACCCTCTTACACTGTTGGTGGGAATGTAACTAGTACAACCACTCTGGAAAAAAATTTGGAGGCTACTTAAAAAGCTAGACATGATCTACCATTTGATCCAGCAATACCACTCTTGGGGATATACCCAAAAGACTGTGACACAGGTTACTCCAGAGGCACCTGCACACCCATGTTTATTGCGGCACTATTCACAATAGCCAAGTTATGGAAACAGCCAAGATGCCCCACACTGACGAATGGATTAAGAAAATGTGGTATCTATACACAATGGAATTTTATGCAGCCATGAAGAAGAACGAAATGTTATCATTTGCTGGTAAATGGATGGAATTGGAGAACATCATTCTGAGTGAGGTTAGCCTGGCCCAAAAGACCAAAAATCGTATGTTCTCCCTCATATGTGGACATTAGATCAAGGGCAAACACAACAAGGGATTGGACTTTGAGCACATGATAAAAGCGAGAGCACACAAGGGAGGGTGAGGATAGGTAAGACACCTAAAAAATTAGCTAGCATTTGTTGCCCTTAACGCAGAGAAACTAAAGCAGATACCTTAAAAGCAACTGAGGCCAATAGGAAAAGGGGACCAGGAACTAGAGAAAAGGTTAGATCAAAAAGAATTAACCTAGAAGGTAACACACACGCACAGGAAATCAATGTGAGTCAACCCTGTATAGCTATCCTTATCTCAACCAGCAAAAACCCTTGTTCCTTCCTTTATTGCTTATACTCTCTCTACAACAAAATTAGAAATAAGGGCAAAATAGTTTCTGCTGGGTATTGAGGGGGGGGGAGAGGGAGGGGGCAGTGGGTGGTAAGGGGGGGTGGGGGCAGGGGGAGAAATGACCAAGCCTTGTATGCACATATGAATAATAAAAAAAAAAAAACAAATTTAAACTGCATTAGTAATGAAATGTCCCTTTCGGTCCAGGCATTTCTGTTCGCCTTAGAAGTTGGGTTTGTCCAATATTTACAGAGGAGAGGCAATTCTCTGTTGATGAATTTGTGGCCTGTCAGTTTTCATGATTTTTCACCTCTGCAATGCGTGAGGGCTGAACCACCCCGGCAAGCATTCTACCACAAGATATTGTACTCTGCCAGTGTTTGTGTTATTGTGAAAACTTTCTTATTGTTCTCCATTGGCAACGATCTTTGTAATACACACGCATGATTCACCATTGGAAGCGGTGATTTGTTTGTGATGTTCACATGGACAGACCAGCTTTCCACTCATCAGCATTTTCCACCAAAAACATGTTTTTCGATTAACTTTTAAATTATGTTGATATCTTGGAGTGCTTTTTAAAGAGATTTTATTAGTGATATGATAGTTGTTACAAGAGGTTTCAGTTGTGACATTTCCATATAGTATACTCCAGTTTTTGTTTCAACCCTCCATTATTTTCCCTTTTACCTCACTCCCCTGCTTAAAAATACTCCGACAAGGTTTCAGTGCTTCCCAAACTTCATGAATGTGGAAAGAAATGTATATCACCATAATTCTCCCTCTTCATTTACCCTCTGCTTCCCACTCCACCCTTCCCTTAACATGATCTGTTCTGGCATTCCCATTCCTCATGTGTTAAATGTCTGTTTCAATTATTGAGGGGGTTTGCCTAGGGTCTTTTACTGTAAATGTGTGTATTTTAATCATTTAACCCACCCCTCTATTAACTCTTCCTTAATCCATTTCTCCCTCAAGTGTTTGATGTTTTAACAGTTTTCAAGTGCCTTTGTGCTCTGGTTTTATTCCATTACAAAAATGTGAGTATTTCAATTATGATTCACTCTGTATTATTCTTTTCTTCTACATTAGTCTCCTCTAACAGTCCCATTTATGGAAACATGAATTGATTATATCTATATCTATATCTTATCTTATTCTATATCTATATCTATATCTATATCTATATCTATATTCTATATCTATATTATCTGGATTGACCTTCCAGACTTTCACTGAGGCACCTTGCCTGTGTTTTGTAGGTTCTGGCTCCCTCCCCACTATTTCAAAAATAATTTTTTGTCGCTTTCCTTTTCATGACTAATTTTGACTTATACAATTTTGCTGTAAGGCATTTTCAAGAGTACTATATGCTGATTCTACAGCTGTACAACTTTGATGTGTTTTGATGTTGGCCTTTCTCATGGTTTTAAGTTATTCTGTGTTTCTATTTGGTGAGTGTCTTTCATAAAATAGTCACAAAACAGGCACATAATAAGGGCATGAAGGTTTTCAAGCAATCATTTTTTCATTGTAAATTTCTTTTCACCTTTCCTCTTACTGGCCATGAATCGGCCAATTCCTCTTTTCTGTTTATTGTGTGTGTGTAGAGGTTGAAATGTTTCTGTGGGCACAGAAGTCCTTGGGTTACTATTAGAGTCCTCTTGTCCATTGCAGTAGAAACATGGACTACATAAAGATTGGAATCAAACTTTGGAATTGATCTGGATTAACAAAAATGATGAAAGAGTTTGGATTTGTTAGGGGCAGGTGTTGTAGCACAAGGGGAGAACATGACTGAAGGAAAGAATTCTGGCTAATATGAGTGGTGAGCAAGGCCACACCTAGTGAACCTGGACAGGATATGGTACTAAAGAGGCTTGAAGATGACCTGAAACAGTCACATCATGTGTGAAGGATAAGATTGTTTTTCAGTATGACAATATGGTCAAGAATGGGCCAAATAAGTTAAATTCAAAAACCTGGGGATCATGGAGGGATATTACTCTGATATCGAGGCTTTCAACAAATACTTTGAATGTTCTCTTATTCTAGATAATGGACTCTGTCATTACCTTAGTAGAGTTTTGATGGCCAGAGTAGAGATTTGTGGTGGACAAGAGAGAGACAGCTTGGTAAGTTGAGATGCTTGTAGGACTCATAGGAAAGTCACTACCATTGCACACGTGGAATGAGGGTTATATTTCAGGTGACTGAAGCAAGCAGGATTCACTGTAAGTGAATGTGTTCCCAAGGAGTTGACATAGTGAAAAATGCCAAGACCCAATAAAAATGGGTATTTACTGACTGTTGACTTTCATGAATTCATTCATTGCTGTTCTAACTAATAGGTGTGAGTATTCTCGTTCCACAGACAGCTCCAGGAAAGGGTCAGATTCAAATGGAGTTTACATAGGTGTATAGGTTGCGTTGATTTGCAGTTTTTGTTAGCTTGGTTTTATCAACCATGGTGAGGGCCATTGTGGTTGCAGGAACTGCCTGTAGCGAGTCGGTCTAGTGCACTGTTGGTAAGGTACATCAATCTTGTTCCTCTATGTTCTGTATGTCAATATTTCTGCACCCATATCATGAGCACCATGATTTGCTGTCTTGACCTGTGGATTTCTGGGAGACAAAATCCCATCTGAATCTGTGAGATGAACATTTGCAGTCTTTGACTGAAAAGAATTGTGCTGGAGTCAGATCTCTTGAAATCGAAGTTCAAGTACACATGTTCCTGTATGTATGAGAAGAATTTACTCTGTAGAGAGGTTACAGCATAGAATACACATCTC